GCTGGTAGGACCATATTAAGACTGCCTTGAGATGGGCTGGATCTTCCATACCTGTCACGGTAGGACTTTATGGTAGGGGCAGCCCCTCCCCTCCTTCACACGATCCCCATTTAACACTGTCCCTTGGGAATTTTGACCTGGCCTTGCAGAATGCTCAGAGGGCTTGGAATGGGCAGAGGCACTTAGAGAATAAGTGCATAACGGCATGCTGCAGGAGTGCAAGGTGATTTAATCATGCTGCAAGATCTGTGCATATCAGAGGCGGGCAGAGAAATGTTGGCAACCAGCCTGAAATTCCTCACTGAAAGGGTAATGAATCCAGTCTGCTAAAATGTGGTGGTGGTGGGGGGGATATTTAAATTTGGGAAGAACCTGGTATCCTAGTTTAAAAGAGCTGGCAGGAGTCCCCGCATCAGAGTTTAATCTCTGTTGCTAATCTTTAAAGTGTCAATCTGAATTATACCATCCTTGTGATTCCTGGCTGGCTCTTGAAGCTGGAAGTACAACTTCGGTGTGTTAAATTTGAGTCTCTCTTTTCCTCTTTTGTTTCTTTGACCTGCCGGATCTGATATAAGAGCTCCCTTGGAATGCGATCTGCTTTGAGGTTTTCCTTTTTGGCACTTCCTCTCTGCTGCTCTGCAGTTGGATTGACATTGTCAGATGATCCCTAAAGAGCAGCTCTTTGAAAGAGGCAGAAACTGAAATGGTGCCGTGTGAGTGAGATAAGATTACAGAACACAGAAGTGACTCTTGCACTGACTGAACCACTCCTACACTGCAGGTCTTCTCTTCTGACATTTGCATTCATTGTGCTTCACAGATGATGATGTAATCCTTACTCCAGTCCTGCCAGACCCGTTTCCTACAGCAAAGTCAGGCCTGGAAATGCCACAATTGGCCAATTCCAGTAATTCGCCTTTAGGTTCCATTGGGTATTGCAGCTTTCTCCAAACTGAACTCCTTTGCCCTTCAGGTGTGCTTCTAGTCCACTGGAGAGGGCATCGAAGTAGCGGTTTTCAAGAAGTCTCGTATCCCATTAGATCTTTTGTCTCTGATTTGAATCTGGCTTGTCTGTGAACAAGTCATATTTCTTAACTATTCTGTTTACCTCAAAATAAGACCTCCCTGGATAATAAGATCAATTAGGATTATGAGCGTATGCCCTAAAATAATCCCTTCCAAAAAAATAAGCCCTCCCCGAAAATATTTAAACACATGCACAGTCAGTCCCCGCCATTTCCTCTGGTTGGTTGCTTCGCAAACAACACGAGGTGAGGTGAGGTCAAAGGGCGGGACATGCCCTATGCCCTCCCACCCTTGCCTAATGGCTGCTCCCCCAACCCTAGCCACTGTGCTCTTTCTGTCATGGTAATGGCCGCCGCAAAAAGAGTGGCAGGCCCAGCGATGCGCAACACAACAGCAGCCATGAGGTGACTGCGCTCTCCATCTTCTGCACCTCAAAAATAATAAGACCTCCCCAAAAATAGGCCAAGTGTTTATTTTGGGGGGTCAAAAGAAAATAAGACCCTGTCTTATTTTCAGGAAAACATGGTAGTTTTGCTTCTAATATGCAAAGATTGACAACAAATTATAGGATAGGATAGATTAGGACTGTCAATATCAATCTGTGGCCATGGGCAGATAAATTGTTCCTGTCAGCATAGATGTGCTGATTTTATGAGTTACCTGCCTCCATATAGAGCAGTGCCCAAACTTCACAATATTAAGATGTATGGATTTTATCTCCCAGAAGTCCCAAACTTGGCAACTTTAAGATGTATGGATTTCAGCTCTCAGAATTCTCCAGACAGACAACCTGGCTGGGGAATTCTGAGAGCTGAAGT